CTGTTGTGATTCCTTCTTGTGGCAGCGTTTCCGAAGGATTCAAAAATAGCATTGCAAGAAACGATCCTTTTCTGTAGCTCTGTTGCTTCTTGTAGCGTCTGTACACCTCCAAGAAGTGCTGCAACCTCCGTCCGCTGGCCGGATACAGTCTTCGGCGCGCCTGAATCGCCGTGAGAACCTGTTGCACTGCCAGAAGCGCCCGCCAGTGTGTCATTAGGAGATGTGGATACGTGAGTTAGAAAGAGCATTAGCTGCTTGCTCGTTTCGGTCTTTCCTGCTCCACTCTGCCCTGAAACTACAATGGTCTGACTAGTCTGTGTCCCCACAAGGCGGCGCAGAGCTTCCTCCGCTACAACGAAGGGGTGCGGTGGCGGTCTGTTCCGATTCGCAGTGGTTTCCTTGAAGGCATTTTCCAAGGCAGCTGCTAGTGTTGATGGCTCAGGTGCTGTTGAAGTACCGTCGTTACAAGGATTACTAGCTTTCATCCACGCATTCATCTCCGGGGATTCCGTACGGCCATAGATGTCGTCACCATTGAAGCTAGGGGGTCGGCAAACAGGTAGTACTCCTGGGAGACCATTCAGAATGGAGCGGATAGTGGTTGTAGAATCCGCCTGATGGGGATGCTCCCCTGCGCAGGCACTTTGGTCGTCATTAAGCTGACGCCGATATATCCGGGCAACCTCCCTCCAATGTCGATACAATGAGATCTGCTGTGCGGAATACAAGTGGGGCAACGGCTTGTAGGGGTTCACAGCCAGTAGAACGTTTGCTGCATAGGTGTATATCTCATCACGAAGGTACCTATGTTGAAGAAGCTGAAGGAGGGCAGCGGCGGACAACGTGTCACAACAGGCGCTTTCGTCTGGGATAGGGTGCGGCGGCAAGGGGGGTGGACTATAGGGCCATAAGTGGTTGACGGGGACTTCAAAAGGCGGCTGGGAAATGAACCTTGCACTAGCATCGGCGGCGGCGGCCGCCGCCGCCTCAGAAGCCCGCTGTTCGAGCCGTTCTACTATGTACGCTCCTCCTAGGTCATCTACCGGGGAACTGGTGCAGCTGGAAGACTCAACCGGAGCATCTGATGACCCCTCCGTTTCATCCTCTGTTTCGCTCTCCTGTGAAGAAGATTGGGGTTCAAGTCCGACGGCACCGCGTTGAGAGAGAGGGTCCGCGAATGCTTCAGTTGCAGCTTCCGGGGGTTCAAGCGACCATGGAGTGCTGAGCTTTTCCTTGCGTAATTTCGTCCTTTTCCGTGATGATGTATTTGCAGCGATTGACTCGATTCGCTGCTGTGAACCTTGCGGTTTTGAACCGTTGTCATTAGTAAGTGCTTCCTCCTGGGTGCTGCATGATTGTGACACGGTGGCCTCGCAAAGTACGTCGGCAGCTGCCTGTGCTGCTGCCACACTAGATGCGCCTTCCGCATCAATCACCACCTGGGCTTTCCCCGTTTTGGTGTCATACTTTAAGATTTTCACAGTCACAAAGCCTTCTTCGGCGCAGTGCGTCCAAGCCAGCGCCCCGGCAGGTATGTCCTGCATAGAGAATGCCTGGTTTTGGCCAAGGGTTCTGCAAACAGGAGCCATGTTCGACCTTAAACACTGGGCAAGGGGCTCATAACTCTTTCTATTGTGAGCGCGCGCTTGTCTTAATGGGGACTTGGCAGGTTTCAACAGCAGTCATTGACATGGGTCGTTGCGTTGGTCCCGAGCGAATCCCATGCAGACAACCACCGCTCCTTCCCCAAAGGCCCCCACAGCAAAGGCAAAATTCAAATTTCATGGGAGATGCACATAGGCAGGCGATCCCGTAGACGAACTCTGTAATCTGCGGCTTGCTTCGAGGACCCTCAGCCCAGTGGTTCCCGTGAGCGACTCCCGTTGGGCAAGAACTACGTGCAGGCAGCTCCAAATCCGTCAACAGCGGACCGCTTAGTCAACATGCAAGTTGTGAAAGCACGTTAATTGCTCGAAGATGCCCCTATCGCAGAGAAGGGCCTATCTGTCTAGGGAGAGGCTGTTCTACAGGCTGCGTCCTGCGGCCCGTCATGGGCATCCGCAGAACGCGCCGCCCCAGAAGGTCTTCTCTAAAAAGCTGTTGCTATATTTAATGAAAGGCGGAAATTTCTTTATTGAAATCGCTGTAGTGTGTTCACCTAGAAGATGACGGGACAGGAGGCGGCGCGGCCGACCCTGAAGCCCCGATGCAGCACGCGACTCGCTGCTGTGGCCGCTTGTCTCGTCCAGAAAGTCGTTTCAGTGGCAGCGGCGTTCCAGTACGAGATATCGGATTAGGATTTAGATATAGTAAAATAGGGATATTAATGCTCATAGATCAGCCTTGACTCGTCAGGCGCTGTCCCAGAACCCACCTTTTCTACGGCATCTGTGGACCTGTAAGTTTGCTCTGGTTCCCACCGTTTATAATCGGTACGGTCTTCGAGGTTCAACTCCGTATCCTTCGCCTTCACATTTTGTGTTACTTGAAACAATGCTTCGTAACCTTGTAGTTATTGAACCAACGGTTCTGCAAGCGGTTTCCTCTCTCGCCGGGGTTGGCAGCTTTTTAAGCCCAAAACTGCTGCATCGACCTAGATTAGAGTAGACAAAAATATGTCTCAAACATATGTGAGCCCCTGAGCTCCTTTCGACCTTCTTTATGGTTGAATAGACGGCAGGAGAGGCCCCAGTGGTTAGAATTCCAACTCGAACCCTCACAGACTGAAGGAACCCCCTGTTCCCGTTCACGTGTCTTCGATGCGTTTCCAAACGGTTCTGTTGGAAGTAAAACCCCTCGGCCTCGAAAAGAGACAAGACCTTAGCCCTTGCTTGGAGGTTGCTCCGAAAGTCAGGATACATCCAAAATCGCAACCGTCTTCACGAATCGTTTCCCCAGTAATAGCCACGCATCCCTCGCTACGTATGGTACACAAAATACCAAATACATATAAATATGCATGGCGCGCAAATTGGAAAAGTCCAAAGCGATGCGTCGCCGGGTACTTGTTGAAGATGCCTCAAGGTGCGCAGTCACTGCACTTCGTGACCTCGGGAAGCAGGTGTCCACTCCTGAGTTCAGTGACGGTACCTGTAAGGCTGCAGGGTGCTATAACCTCCTGATACGTCTGCGTGTAGTTATCAACAATCGATAGCTGAAGGGGCAATCTACCAAATTTCTCCTTGCTGGAAGGAACCGCTCGCAGTTGTCCTTGCGCATCGTCAGAGCGAATGGTACAACTTGAGCTAGAATAATTTGATCTTCAATTAGGGTGGATTCAACAAGAGCAAGTGGGAGATGGTCTATCATCTGCTGCTGGTGGTTGTCCTTAGTGACTGCGACCTTCTACCCCGCGCTCAGCCAGACCTCAACGCAACACTTTGTAGAAACGTAATCCGCAGTGCCATCCAGTGGAGAGGGCCATGAATGATCCAGAGGTATTTTGCATGTGACTAATGGGGAGTATGAACTGCATTGAAAATTGAACTTCATGACTACGTGAGCTCCAACTAAAAGCTTTATGGCGACGGACGACTAGCGCACCATTAACCCAATGATTTGCACAGGTTTATAACGAATGTATATATATATATATATATAATATACATATATATATGTATATATATATATATATATGTATATATATCTATATATATATGTATGTATATATTTGTATAAATATATATATATATATATATATACATATATATATACATATATATATATATGTATATGCGGGCGTGCATATGTACATAGACATTTGTGTATCCGGGTTTAATATATCCGAACGTCTCAGTTCCCCTGAGGAACCGGCAAACGCCTCCCCGGGCGAGTCCTGAATAAACTGCCGTGGAAGTGCGTGGTGCGATGAAGTGAAAGCGCACATGGGTTGAGCGGAGATTTCGCCACATAATCCATAAGCATAGAAACTAAACAACCGGCAGACTTTTAGAAAGGGTAGCGTCTGAGCGGTAAGTCGAAATCATTTTACACACGAAGGAAGTACCCCCTGAGAAGCCGGCCTGATACGAAGCATCCTTGCAAAAAGGTTAGGAATTGCTTCACTGCTAACCACGGAAGAAACTGTAATTTCCCAGGTCTATTGCTAAAGGTATGCGGGAAATTTGTGCAACGAACTAAGCGGGCTTTGTACATGGATACTGATGAATTCTCGTGTACACAAACGGTGAAACAAACGATGCTTTGCGAAATTGTCGAGCCTTGTGTATACACAGAGGGCTAAAATGGTGCCTGTCCTTACCTAGGCACTGATTTAATTGATGCAGAGTGTCGTCAGCTTAGATGGATAGGACAGTGAATGCGTCATTCTACTGCTCCCTGTACATAAAAAAGGGGTTGCACCCTAAGTATTCCCCCCGCGGAGTCTTTTGAAGCTTGCAAACCGCTTACGAATAAGTTGAAATATAGTTTAAAAACGCCAATTTATCCCTGATCCGATATAAAATAGACAATGGGTGAAAGATCGCGAAGTTCAGGCTGTTGGCTGGCGTGCATGACTTCCATGCAAAGTGCCATGCAGCAAAAAGTGTGGTTCAAATTTCTATTCAACTATATTATACATATATATATATATATCGCATGCAAATATACATATATATATGCATATAAATCTGTTCTTCCCTGCGTATAGTGGAAGTTCTGGCTGCAAAGAAAGTGGAGCCGGACACCTAAAACCACATGGGGGATCCCCACTGAACGTCGCGCAAGTTTCATGTTTTAAGGGGTCTCTGCGCATCAAGGCGTGCGAAAAAGTCTCTCACCAAGAGGGTGTCAGACAGAAATCGGGTTTGTTTCATTATTGAATTGCCTCTTGTTTGCACGCTAGCCCATACAAGTGCAACGCAGAGCTATGCTGAGTTGGCCTCTGCTGGAAGCAGATATCTGGCAAGGGGAAAGCTGCAGCACCATCTCTGCTTGAATCAACAAGGTTAACGCATTTGTTTTGGCATGAAATCCTGCAAAAAGAGGGGGGAAAGGATTTCCTGTGCCATGCATGCGGAGGTATTTGTGATGCAAGGAAGCAACTCGAAATGAGGCAAGAGTTGAATTCGACTTGTCTTAGGTAAAAAAGTTCCGATAAGGCCCTGAAACGAGCGGTGAAGCTGGGAGAGTCAAAGCCAAAATAAGCAACTCCTGTCTTAAGAAGTGTTTGAACGCTCCAAAAATATGCGCAATTAGTGCAAAATGGAGCAGCAACGGGGTCTCCAAAGCCAGCCATCACCGTAGCTTCCACTATTTAGACTGAAATATCAAAGTGATTTCGCTGCAACTAGTTGCGTAGTGGTGTGAAGGTGCCAAACTCTACTTGGAGACCTGCTCAAGCGAACGAATATGTATAATGGGCTTCGTTATACAGAAACAGAAACCTCTGAGACATGATGAACGAGGGCTGTAGATAAAAGCCTCAGAAGGGTTAACTGGCAAAAGAGCCGAGTTTGTTTTGCATCAGACGCTATCGTTCTACACACAATGATCCTGCAGCGAAAACTACTGAATCCTCGTGAGGACTGTGAGCAAAGAAAAGACAAAGTCAAGACAATGAAGGAAGGCGGAATCAAGCTATGGAGAAAATTGTTATACTACGCGTGCCAACGCTCCTGGCGGAGGAATGGAAGAGAAAGACGAAGAAGTTCATCAGTTGATACCCACAAGCACGCAGGTAATATGCATGCATTTATATGTAAGTGTGGATTATTGGTTGAGGAGCGCAAGTTGGCGTTCAAAGCGTGCAATGACGGGGGGAAAATGGGAGCGCCAGGCAGTAGCCATGAGCAAGTCCTTACTTTCAACCCACTGTTGAGTTATACGACTTCACTTCGCTTTGCATTCAGACAGAAATCAATAACAGAAGTTCGCATCAAGACAAAGGCGAATCTGTTCTTCGAGGTGATACCTCCACAGGTTGGGATCAACCTATGATGTGCACAAACGCGAACAATGTGTGTCCGCCTTGTTTCCGTTCTGGTTTTTGAATAGTTTCATTCTATTATGCAGCATGCTAAAATTGTTAAGAATTGTAAAAGGTCAACCCTAATGTTACCGGTATGCTGAGGGAATCAAAGCAAGCAAGTACCTCAGCTAGCCACCATATTGACTGTTAGTGCAACTACTAAGCAGGCGCTTTGGGCATGGTTGTTATCATAATAGCTCATATGCCATGTTAATGTAAAGCCATTTGGGAAAGGAAGTGAAATTGAGCGGAAGCAAGCACAAGAATCCGCCTGAGGTCCACTGGCCTTCACTACCGGTGGCATGCTGTGGGGGCTCGATCTGAAGAAAGAGAAGAATTTTTATACTGATAGCATCAGCAAAGCGAAAATCGTTGATTTGCATGCCTAAAATAAACAATTGTGTAGTGACTGGGAGGGAGAAAATATAAAAAACGAGCACAGGGAAAGCTCTGTGCCGTTGGTGTACTAAGCACACGGACCACCCAGTCAACGGTTTCATGGTTTGAAAAGCATCCATCTCAGCAGTGTATACGATTTCTTCGGCTTAATCAACTCGTCTTTGTGTCTTTTCTCCATTTAATACTTCTAGTAGGTATTTCACACAGGTTTGGACAGTCGTCGGCATCACGAACACCCCGTGCAACTTCACGCAGTTCTGTGTGCGGAATCGAGTAGGTGCATAAAAGAGCGCAAAGCCCCAAAAACTGAATTTTCCCAGTGCATGTAGGCCTAATTTTGTTGGAAATGGGTTCTATTAACTCGTTTCAGAGGGGTTTCTTAGGGTGAAGAAACTCCAGCCCGAAACCGAGGTGGCGGTTGGCGCATGACTGGTAACCGTTTCTGTCCTCATTTCCTTTTTTGATAGTTAAACCGTCCTTGTTGCACTCTACCGTGTTTTCGTGAATGCTGTGCTGTCAGGGGGGGCTGGCCGGCGAGCTGCTGCATGCTTGCTTGTGGGGGGTGCTGCTTGCAACGCGTTCATCCTATTGATGGCGTCTCGATTTGTTTATTTTCTGGTGCTGCAGTCGTAGGTCCTTAGGCTGTTGCATTTAAACGAACGCCATGGAGGGAGTTAACAGACTCTGCTCGTGCAGGTTTGAGCCGCTGGTCGATGTGCCAGTGCCAGAGAAGGCTGTCGTGTGGACTTCGAACAATTACTACGATGGCTCAGGTGGGTTGTGCTGAAGGGGAGAACAGTATGTGAATGCGTAAAGTAAGCGTAAATATGTACTTGTAAAGCATACAGAGATGAACTCGTGGAACTGATTCCTTTGCCTGTGTCTTTCCTCTTGTTCAGGCTGGGTGGGTTTGACAGACCGGGATAAGTTGTCGCTAAAACCTACACTCTTTAAAGACCATCGCCTGCTTTTTCTAGAGCCAGTTGAAGGCGTCTGCGAAGCGTTTAGCACTGTCCAGTCAGGCAAATATGACGTCAAGGTTCGTCCCACTGCAGTTTGAGCATATTTTGCATGCATTTGAATGCCGTCTGTTTAAAAAGCAATGCTTGATGATGAGAGATGAAGGGGGGGGGATAGAACAGGAAGGCTTGCTGAGGTTGTCTGTGCGTACAAAGTTCTCGGAAGAAGAGCTGGATGATTACGTTTTGCGTTGCCTTTTAGCTAGAGGAGTAGTACATCTTAACTCCATCGCTGCAAGTATGCGTGCTTGTTTGTGTATATACATATAGGTATATTTATATATATATATATATATATATTATATTCATGTGTTTGTGTTGACTCCTGCAATATGAGTACAGTGCTGGAGCAAGCACGGGTGTCACTTGGGCATAGAGGGGGACAAGAACGTGTTTCTGTTGACTCCAACTTTGCGAGAGGTTGCGGTGTATTCTCATCCGGAGCGTTTGCCGGCTTTCCCTAAGGCTTGGAAGCCGCTGCTGTTTACTGTGAACGCTTCTTTGATAGCTTTTCGGCTGACAGACAAGGTGTGTCTGATAGTGACAATAGACGAGAGTCAAACAGTGAAGATACAGTGCGTGGACTACAACGCGGGCTTTGTGGTGTCTCACCCCTCAACAAATGCAGCACTTGCTTACGGCGCGATGGTAGTGAAGGGGTTTGATGCGCTGCCTAACTGCGAGGTGATACCGCACATAAACTGCGCCTCAGGCGACTGGGGCTTCTTCGTGCAGCTGTTTCAGTGGGGGTCTTTTGTCATTCCTAAGTCGGTAGACCTGACTCGGCCTACATCGATCTTGGGCCTCGGCCTTGGAAAGAAAGTAGACTGTCTTGGGGTTCTTCTGCACCCACCGAACATTGTTATTATGGTGCATTTAGAGTCGCCTAAGGTGCTGAGGGCACTGGAATATGGACGTGATTATCTCCTGACAGCGATTAAAACAAGCGAAACAGACATTGACATCTACCTTATCATGGACGGCCAGATGACGCGCTTCAACTACTCTTTTGACTTGAGAATCAACAGGCCCGGGAAACCACAACACCACGACAATGTCGCATTCAAATGTACACTCGAGCTCGATGATAAGAAGAAGTGCAACCGTTTCATCTTCCAAAATACTAAGTCGGCGTCTGTTGTTGTGCCCCAAGGCTGCCCCTCAGGGGAGGGAGACCACCTCGTCAACAAAACACTCATTGCAGTCTTTGATGCAGAAATATGTACGTTTTGCTAGATGCATATACACTTGAATTCGCATTGCCATTGTTAATGCTGTCTTCTCGTCTGTAGTTCAGGTGTTCGTTTTTTTTGACGCATGCGTTGTTATTTAATGTTTTCGGGTGTCTCCTTTGGGAGCTCTCTCCCTCTGCTTACGTAAGATTTCACTGTTCTCCTTTCCTGTTTATTGTTGTATTTGTTTTGTCTGCAGGCATGTACCTCACCCATCCTCCAGCCTTGAAGCTGTGCTCTGCCTTCGACACCGTAGCACTGCCGGTCGACTGATCATCAGTTTGTGTCAGTGAGAAAACGACGCACAAGATTGAGGCAACTTCCTGTTGGACACCAGCAAAGAGTGGAGCAGAAGTACCCTGAAATAACGAAAGAAAGAGGAAAATAGTGGAGAAGGGTTGCGAGACTTCGGCTGTCAACGCACTGCAGCCCCAAGCCCTAAAGTCTAAACCCGAAACCCGTATTTGCGTCCGGGCCCGACTACCACTGGCCGTCTTGAGAGAAAGAGAGGATAGGGGTCGATAGATGCACGGAGAGGGAAGTGAAGAATTGATGGACCAAATAAGAGACACCTCCTGCGGGAATACTGCTGCAAACAAACACCTGCTCATACACTGCATACGGCAACCCAGTGTCTTCTGCTCGCAAGGAATGCAGTGTAGCGAATTACTTTAAAAAGACAAACATAGGCAGACAGAGGCAGACAGGGAGGGCAGCCGCCACGGGCGTGGGGCTGCTCTCCAACTTCTGTCTTGTCTTCTACCCTAACGAAGTAACGATTAGATGTTTCTTGCTGATGTTCTCTTTGGGGTGTTCACGCCTCAGACAGTCTTGTGCAGTGTTTTTCCTCGCGTTTGTCTTTAAATCACACGCCTAGCTCCTGCGGGGCCGCCGTACTTAACCCTAAACCCTATTTAATAGCCAGCTGTGCAGTGAGGCTGCTGCTGCATGCGATATCTGTACACCGCAGAAGAGGCGTTTTGCAGCTAAACTCTGCACGGGATATTGTACTACCCCAGAACTGTTTGAATTGAAGCATCCCCGCTAAATTTATGTATAGTATATACACCAAAATATATGCATACATATATTTATTTATTGTGCATATTACGAATTAATATATATAAATATTTATATATTTTGACTGCACCACTTCAACATCTAATGCATAAGTTGTACTTAAGAAATTAACGATGGAAATAAATGTAGAAATACCACCAGGTTCTTTATTTACCGCATTCTACCTTCTAAGCACATCTAATTTTTTTCGAACTTGAAGTAGTTATTGATCTAAAGCACTACGCCAATTAAATATATATATATATATGAATTGTGCTGTTGCTGGGCTCCACCTCAGGAATTTGAATAATTAGAACCCGAACTGCGCTGTCTGAGTCAAATTTGGGGTGTATCTATCCGTTGTCGCCAGGAAGCAAAAAAGGAAAATGTTTTTAGAAAAAGAATGAAGTTTTTGCTGCAGCATGTGCGGCCCCTGCTGCCAGCGGTGGCGATACACCGCAATGGAATCAGGGGAAAAGCCTACTAGGCTTTATGTTTGTGTGTGTTATTGATAAGATTCATACGATGGAATGGAATACCTTTCCTGTTGTTTCTTTTTGTGTGCATTGTCCATAATGCATTTGCATTGGAGTGTAATAAACGGGGTCGCTCGCCACGAGGAAGAGGTGCGGTGCCCCATGAAAAGCAAAGAAAGACATAAATAAACAAAACAAAACAGCCAATTTGACCAGAACTCGTCACTCTGAGATGTCTAGACAGCTGAGGCATTTATGCCATTGGAAGAAGGGCAGCCGCCAGACATTCCCGACTCAACTGCGCAACAACTGCAGCAGCAGCACATTAAATATTTCATAGAACTCCAGCATCTTATTGCATTACATAAATACTTAGGGAGTCTTCTATGAACGTATAACAAATACATACGTCGTAAATATAACATATATATACATTGATATATAGATGGTAAATGTAACATGCATATATTTGTGTTAAAAATCCATCATACGTCCATATATATGCATATATATATTATATATATAGGTGCATATGCACGCAAATATACACGCAAATATATTACTGAGTATAACATACACACATACATACCTACACATAAGTCATAAGAACAGCATATTTATGCATATATAAATAACATATAAATAACATATATATGTATATTAACATATATACATACACTACGAACAAAGGGAAACCACCGGAGAATGATTGTCTCTATCATTCTCCATAAATGGGTGGGGCGCCGGTGCTGCCGGCGAGGCGAAATCAAACAGACAGATTGACGAGACAAGGAGAGCACAAGGGGCCCCTTTGGGGCGTCACTGTCTACAAGAGAGAAGATGAAGAGGAAGCATATGCCTTCCTTATTCCTTGTGCACCTCCATTTGTCTCTGTCTTTTCTCTCCCTCTATAGGGAGTGGGTTCTTGTGTTGCGCTGCCGCTGCAGCAGCAGTTGCTGCTGCTGGAGTTCCTGTTGCTGCTGTTGCCGCTGCTGATGCTTCCGTTTCTGCAGCAGCAGCAGCAGCCGCTGCCGCTGCAGCAGCAGCTGCTGCTGCTGCTGCTGGTTGCCCGAGGAAGCGAGAGAGATGCAATACATCCTCTACAAGCTCCTGCTGCAGGTGTATCTCCAGCTCGTTTGGCGCTGCGCGTGTTCTGACGCACCGAGCAAATGGGTTTATTAGGGTTTGCAACTCAGCGAGGCTGAGATAAGGAGAAGCAGCAGCAAGAAGGCAATGCCCAATTGCGCGCTGGCGCTCTAGGAGGGCCTCTGCGGTGTAGGGGATGGTGGCGAGACACCCCAGCAACCCCGACAGCAGCAGCTGCAAACAACGGCGATAGTACGGCAGCAGCACTTTCTCCATCGCCTCGCGGGGCTCAGCATTTAAATGAGGGCCTAGAGAAAATGAAGTTAAAGCAGGAGACAGAAACTCCCCAGCCCCAGATGCTACAGAACCGCAAGGAGATAAAAGGCCCTCCTCTTGACGTCCTTCATGCTGCTGCTGCTGATGCTGGTGCTGCTGCTCCTGCGCCTGCTGCTCCTCTCGCTGTGGCTGCTGCAATGGCGGATGCTTCCGTTCGTGCTGCTGCTGTTGCTGCTGCTGCTGCTCACCAACCTCGCTGGATCTGCTGCTGCTCTCAGCAGCAAAACGCTCGCAGACTGAAGCCAGCAAAGGGCCCCGCAGGGGGCCCCCAGGGCCCCCCAAGAGGGGGAGGGTACTGGGCAGTTGTTGTCTCTCCTCTGCTGCAGCATACAACACGCAATCCCTCAACAGCACATTCATCTGCAAGGGTTTAGGGTTTAGGGTTTAGGGTTTAGATATCGGTTGCTCTGTACCTCTGAAGGTCAATAAACCCTCATCAGTTATAAATTATTTTGTTTATATTTGTTATAATATATTTGTTTATAAGTGCCTGCTTTTAATTGATATGGTAGTATACATTAAAAACGAATGTTAATATCTTACCTTTTTTTCTTTTGTTTTTCCTCGCCAATACCTTTGCTCGCGTGCGAATGAAGTTAGCTTCGTCTTCTGCATCTTCAGCTGCATCTTCTGCTGCATCTTCTGCTTTTGTTTCTTCAAACATATTCCCGCCATCTGAATCCGGAGAAGATAATTCACTTCTCTCGACGTAAAACTTTGCTCCAAATGCATGCACTGTGGTGCCGTACTTTCTGTAGTTTGCTTGGGGGGCCCCCTTCGGGGGCCCCCGCTGCTGCTGCTGCTGCTGCTGCAGTTGGTGCTGCTGCTGCTGTAAAGACAAACCATGTGATGCAGCCACAGCTGTTTCTTCTGGACGCGGGAATTTGCGGGGTCTGCCGCGTTTTCGTTGAGGAGGAGATGGAAGAGCAGCAGCATCAGTTGCTGCTTCTGCTGTTGAGGGGGAGGGGGGCAGCGGCGACCCGTTGAGAAGAAACGGGTCATTGTATCCTGAGGTGCTGTCCCTGTTGCTGTTGCTGTTGCAGTTGCTGTTGCTACTGCCGTTGCTGTTGTTGCTGTTGCTGCTGCTGCTGCAGGGGTCCCGACCCAAGCTGAGGAAGAATTGGGGGGCGCACAGTATCTGTCTCCTTTCTCCTTCTCGGGCTGTTCTTCTTTCAACAAATACATCTACACTGTAATTCTCAGAGTAGAAGCGACGAAGAGAAAGGAAAGTGCGTACACTCCACCGTCTATACACCGTAAATTCGTGAGCAATGGAGCCTGAGGCAGAAGAATTATTCAGGTGTACAGCCACACCCACACGGAAACATATTTCTAAACCGCAGACAGAATCTGCATGCAAAATCTTCTCCGCTGGCTTCTCTTCAGTTGTATAAAAAGCAGTTATGACCCCCCGAATGCGACGGGAAGGCCTCAGGCTGGTGTTCTTCCTGCTGCTGCTGTGGTGTACGTACAGCTCCGCCAACGCCGCATCTTCTTCGATTTCTCGCGTGTACATCTCTTTGAAAAAAGAATTCATTGAAGTCAGAGACGAGGAAGGAATGCACGTGAGACGGGTTCGCACCAAGTCTACCAGGTGTATACGCACCTCCTGTCCCACAAACAAGCACATTGAGGTGTACGTACAGCCCAACTCCGAATACAAATTGTCTTCGCTATCCAACGCATCATTCCCCGCCTCCACACCACTCTCTGCTGCTGACTCCCCAGCTGCAGCATCGCGAAATCCGGCAGCAGCAGCAGCATTATCACCCCTTCCAGCAGCAGCAGCAGAGCCACCACTACTAACAAGTGTTTCGGGCTTTGTAAGAGCCTTCAAAGGGGTTGTATCAGACAGCCCAAGAGAGTGTTTTTCCCCCGTCTGCTGAGACACTTCCTCGCCTCCATTGACGCCTATTGCCTCCATGGCTTGCGGTGTACAGGCAGCTGAGGAAGATTCAATTTGTTGTTAATGCCGCTTCCTCGACGGTGTTTATGTGCAGTGAGTTCCCTGTTTCTGCACGGTAGTCCCCCTAAAGCGGCCTTATTCGGATACAGTAGAAGGGAATAAAATACAAAGTGACGCCACGATGAGTGAAATTCGAATTGATGCCGGTTTCTTGTGCTACGCTGTACAGACACCTCAGCGAATGGCGTCCTCATTGAGGCCTCGGGCGGTGAATCCGTGCAATAAAAGAGTGTTAAACAACTTCAGAAAACTTGAATGAAAGCAATAAAATATAAGAAAATTGTTTTAGGTATGATAAATGAGGCTGAATTATCCGTTATGCTGCTGTATGTACATACACCCTGTGTACAGTTCTGTTCATTTAATACACGAGGAAGAGAGGAAGATGGCTGCTGGGGAGAAAAGAAGGCCCGTGCAAAGCCGGCTTTCTCTGTTGTTTGAACTTATTCTTTGCAAAAGGGAATAAAGGTATTCAATGCATTTGTTTAGCGTTTTTTTCTTGCCTTCCGCTCCACACAAAGCAGAGAGCGGGGACGAGAAGGGAGACCTCGACAGATCAGCAGACACCAGCGCAGCTCCCCGAGGGAGTTTAAAGAAGGAGAAGCGCAATCAGAAACAAAACTGTTTATTAAAAACAGTAAAATAAGAAAAAAACGCGATATGAAGGAATAGAAAAAGCAGAGAAAGCCCGAAGAGAACAAGGAACCGTGCTGCGGGGTCAGAAGGAAGACCATAGGGAAACGAGCCGCGCCTGGTACGAAACCCCTCAAATTAGAGACATTACTTTACTGTAAATGCAGAATAAGGTCTATTTAATCATAAAAAGTATTAATAATTCGTAAAAATAACAATTGTTTGCTCAGTTTCATGTTTTTGCAATGCCGGATAGCCTGCGGTGAAACGCAGTGACGCCCAGTGTGCTGCACTTCTCCAGCAAAAAAATGCAGTCTTTGGGATCGAGGGAAAGGGAAAAAGCAATTTAAAAACAAAATGAAAGTTGAATTTCGTCGGATGTGTTTCCAACTGCAAACCTGCCTGTACACCCCACGAGGCGGCCAGCCCAGCAGTCTCGCGTCTTCCTAAGGAAAAGAAGGACCATAGCCCCGGAAAATATGTGTTTTCTCTGCTCCAATTAGAAAATGTCGAACTTTATTTGTTTAATTATTTAATTTAAGGAAGAAATCCCCACTTGAATCGTCACAAAAAGAAAGGCACGTGCGGAAACCGTTTCGCGGCATCGACGCCGGGCGATCACGTCGGCTCTGCGGGTATTCATTGAAGCAACAAGAAAATGTATTCCACTTAAAATAAGTTTAAACAAAGTAAATTTCTGATTTTGAGAGGTTTATAGTAGCACCATTCAAGTTTGAATTCCCTTATTAGCCTCGGACTGCACCCGTGCGTGCAGATGCAGCCATTGGTGTGTCTGTACACCTCGAGAGGACGTCCACAGCAGTCGTCTTCCTTGCAATTAACCTCAAAAGAATAAAATCTTCCGTACAAACTCAGTTATAAAAGCTTCTGCTCTCTTTTTCTGGCGAAACAAACAGGGCTCAGCATACACCTAACGACCGACTTCCAAAGACTGTAACGATTAACCATTCAAAACAAACCCTAAAAGCATCATTTCTAAGCGTGATTCCTAAACCCTAAACCCTAAACCCTAACACCTACGCCCTGTATATCCCGGAACTTCAAGGAAAGAGCGCCAACGGGATAAACTTGCAGATCAGTTTTTCTATACAATGCAAACTCAAAGACGAAACTCCCGAAGAACACTTTGTTGAAATGTTCATTGCAGTTGCGGTCTGCGCGTAGAGACAGCATTAACAGGGTTTCTCAGTAAGCTCTAAATTATTAAACGCAAACCCTAAACCCTAGATCGTAAACCCCAAACCCTAGTACTTAAGATTTCGTTTCTGCCTGGAAATGTCTGCATTGGCAGCCTTCTGCATGCATGAAGCAGTTTAGGGTTTACGTTTTAGGGTTAACGGTTTAGCTTCACTGCAGTGTACATTTTCTTAAGTGGATATACACTTGAATAGAATGAATATGTACGGCGTCTACACCATTGCAAACATGCTGTAAACAACAAATCGATTAAACTCCTGTAGTTAATGCACATACTGCACGACTCAACAAAAATGCAATGCCTCTAATCCAAAGACAGCAGGGGCTTTTCTCGTGCCTCTTTAGCCCTTTGACCCTTCGATTGTGTTATTTAATTTGAACTCCGCCGCGGTCTACATAAGGACTCTAAACCCTAAACCCTGAAGGCTGCAAGCGGCTGGCTGAAGAACTCTTATTATATTATAACACACGGTGGAGTGTCTTATCCTTTCTCGCTCTCGCTCTCTCTTTCTCACTCTCTCGCTGCATCTCTGCCTTTTTTTTTAATTTCGATGTATGCGCTGCAGCTTATTCTCCTTATGGCTTAGCAAACCTTCTGTTATTTTCTTTGCAATCAAAGTGCATAATGGCTTGTGCATAACGCTTTCTCTGTGTAGCCGAGAAGTTGCATGTACACCACGAGGTGTATACACGCATGCACAAACTCTCGCCTTCCCTATTCAAGTTAAAAAACAACACAATAAAAACAGAGAATCGCAACTTCATAGCTCAATTCCTCCCTCTTTAGGGCCCCACAGAGCCTTCGCAGTAGGGGGGCCCCCCTTCGGGGGCCCCCCTACTTGACCCTAGGGGCCCCTTACATGACCCTGGGGGACCCCCATACATGACCGTGGGGGCCCCCATACTTGACCCGGGGGGCCACCTTCCTTGACCATTGGGGCCTCCTTGAAGGCCCTAAGGGCCGCCTGAACCTCCACCCCTTGACCGTGGGGGCCCCCACTGGCGAGGGGCCCCCCCACCGAGAGTGATAATGCGCATGCAGGGATTGAATGACAACAAAATCAGCGAAGATTTGTTTAAAAGCCAGAACTCAAAAACAGCGGCAGGGCCCCTGTGCCCTTTACGTTACAGGACAAACGGGGGGGGCCCCCTTTGTTCTTCAAGCAGAAGAAACAGAAGAAGGGGGGCCCCCTGCAGTCGTTCTGTTAGGGGAGGGGCCCCAAAAGGGGGTAGCCGCGACTCAGCGTGGTGCATGCAAAGAAGAAGGGCTGCATGCACACTGAGATAGGGATCGAGCATAAGCCTGAATTTACTTAATCTATTAAACTGCTGCTGCTTGTTGGTTGGGGTTAGCGGTGTACGTAGTACTGCGAATACGATGGTGGCCGACTGTATATACACCCGAAGGTGTAGGCTGCACCGTTTGAATGCTCTTCTTTCGCCTCGGCGGATGCACTTAGTGCTTTATATATATATATATATATATATATATATATATATATATTTTGTCTCTCTC